GCCCCAAATAATACTTTGCCTGAAAATTGATCTGCTTGCTTCCTGAACTGACCCTCGCTTGTTTATTGACCACGTTACTGCCTGCTGCCTGTACTGATCCTTTGCCTGGATACTGACAATGTCTCTGATTGCCACCTTAATTGACCTTGGCCTGCATACTGACCATGTCTCTGCTTGATGCCTGAACTGACCTAGGGCTGTGTATCCGCCATGTTACTGCTTGCCACCTGGACTGATCCTTTGCCTGGATAGTGACCACGTCCCTGCCTGCCGCCTGAACTGACCTTGGCCAGCATACTGACAACATATCTGTTTGCCACTTGTAGTGACCCATCTGCATGTCCCACTAACAATATTCCAGCCGAAACACCAGTACCAGCCATCTTCTGCAGCCAACTGCACTGCTGGAACCACAGGTTTGTTTACCCTTTGTTCAGCTTCCTGTAGGAATTTAGATCCGTAATTAATGCCCCTGAAAGCCTCATGGTGCTCCTTAGAATTTTGGGCCCCTCTATACGGGTAGACGTCTAAAAAGTCTCACATGCGTGGTTTACCCCAAAACTCAGGAGTAGTAGAATGTGTTTTTGAGAGTCATTCTAAGGATGCCTATGCTGTGTGTTAGATATATCTTAATAATTGACAACTTTGTGTAGAAAGAAAAAATTATTTATTTTCTAAAAACTTGTGGCAAAAAAATTTAATTGTCACAAAACTGACCATGCCACTTATTAAACACCTCTGTGTGTCTGTTTTTCCAAAATGGGGTCATTTTGTGGGTGTTTCTACTATCCTTGCACATTAGGGCCTCCAAAAATTCAATAGGTAGTCAGGGAATAAGATGTGTAATTTATGACCTTAAAAGCCTGAATGTACTACTTGGTGTAGGTACTACTTGGATTTTGGGCCACTCTATGAGGCTAGGCTGCTACAAAGTCTCACAAGTATGGTATTCCCATACTTTGGAGGAGTAGCAGAATGTGGTTTTGGGTGTATTTCGGAGGATGCCCATGCTGTGTGTTAGATATATCTTATTAATTGACCACTTTGTGTAAAAAAATTTAAAACAATTAAATTATTTTCTTAATTTTTTCATAACTTGTGCCAAAAAATTAATCTTGAAAAACACTCATCAAGCATCTTATCGAATACCTTGGAGTATCTTCTTTACAAAATGGGGTGATTTTGTGGGGGTTTCCACTGTCCTGGCATTTTAGGACCTAATGAAATTGGGGGGGGGGGGGAGGGGGAATTTACCAAAAAAATGTAGCAGAATGCATTTTGGCCTAAATTTATGAAGATAGATTATGTGCAATTTTTTATAGCTTAACACAGGGAAAACAGGTTATTTTTCTAAATTTTCGGTAATCTTTCCCCAATATAGTAAAAAATGAAAAAACAAGTGGTGATTAAATACCACCAAAAGAAAGCTCTATGTGTTAACAGGCATCACTGCCAGTTTTGAAATTTAGGCAGTTTCCCGCTTGCGCGCAAGAGGGCGGGCCTGGTGGGACATTTAAATACGCACACTTAGATCTAGGAAGGTCTCGGCCAGACGTATTTTTACAACGGGAGGCGGTTAAAGCAGAATTATTGGCCTAATATACAAAATTGCTGGCAGGTAGACTTTTTATTCCAGAAGAGACTCAATGGGGGTCTATTTATAAACAATTCACAGGGCCCTTTATCCTGCAAATATTTATGAATGTTTATTTTGGGCTAATAATGCCAAAAATGAACACTCTTAACCACTTCCAGCTGGTTCACATAAATGTACGTGATCTGCTGGAAGTGGTTATACCAAGAACACGGCTTAATCCATGTTGAATGTATTGTGATGTAATACTACATTTTGGCCACTAGATGGAGCTGAGGCACATAGGAAATACGTATTTATATAAAAGCAGTTGGATTTACATATACAGTACTTTGACCGCCTCCCGGCAGGCCGTTGTGCTTAAACGGCCGGCAGCTTCTTGCATGTGAGTAGCAGTCAAAAGATGGCCTGTTAGCCCCGCCCACTTATGCGCGGAGCAAACGGGATACTGCCAAAATTTTAAAAACAGGCAATGATGCCTGTTTACATACAAGCTATGCGTCGGGTGCTCATATGTGCAAAAACGACAATTGCGCCCATTACATATCACCGCAAAATTTCGCAGTGAGAACGATAATTGTAGGGCCATTGATCTCTGATAACACTAAACTGATGAACGGTAAAAGCGTTTAAAGCGTTGACTATGGTCAATTTTGGGTATGGTAGTTTTCTGTGATTTCGCGGGTGCGCGCACTTATAAAGCTTGGCATGTTTGGTGTCTATTTACCCGACGTGACCCCGTCTTTTATATTTTACCAAAAAATAAAATGTATTATAAACAATATAAAAAAACATTTTTTTCAAAATTTTTGGTAATTTTTCCTTATTATAGTAAAAAATTAAAGTGGTTAAAGTGGATGCACAGCTATGGAAAAACAACATACAGTCATGGCCAAAAATATTGGCACCCCTGCATTTCGGGCAGGTAATGCACCACTTTGTGCAGAAAATTGTTGCAATTACAAAAGTTTAGGCATTCTCATGTTTATTTCCTTTGTTTGTATTGGTATGACAAAAAAGTGTAGCAAAAACCCCCCAAATCTGACACATTCCACGCAAAACTGCAAAAATGGACTGGAAAAAATGAGTGGCTTCCTCAATTAATATTTGGTAGCACAGCCATTGGAAAAAATAACTGAAATCAATCGCTTCCTGTAACCATTAATGAGTTTCTTACACCTCTCTACAGGAATTTTAGATTACTCTTCTTTCGCCAACTGCTCCAGGCCTCTCAGATTGGAAAGGTTCCTTATCCCAACTGCTGTTTTGAGATCTCTCCACAGGTGCTCTGTGGGATTTAGAGCTGGACTCATTGCTGGCAAGGCCAGTACTGTCCAGCGCTTTGTCTGAAACCATATATGGGTGCTATTTGACGTGTGCTTTGGGTCATTGTCCTGCTGTAAGACCCATGACCTCTGACAGAGACCCGCCTTTCTGACACTGGGTCATACATTGCACCCCAGAATTCTTTGGTAGTCTTCAGATTTCATAATGCCATGCACACAGTCAAGACATCCAGTGCCTAAAGCAGCAAAGCAACCCCAAAACATCAGTGAACCTCTACCATGTTTGACTGTAGAGACTATTTTTTTCTTTAAAAGGCCTCATTTCTTTTTATGACAACAGTAGAATGATGAGCTTTACCAAAAAGCTGTAATTTTGTTTTGTCTGTCCACAGCACATTCTTCCAAAAGGATTTTGGCTGCCTCAGGTAAGTTTTGACAAATTCTAATCTGGCTTTTTTGTTTCTGTGTCAGCAGTGGGGTCCTCCTGGGTCTCCTACCATAGTGTCCCTTTTATTCAGATGATGACGTATAGTGCGAGCCGACACAGATGTACTCTGTGCCTGAAGCTCAGCTTGAATTTGTCTGGAAGTTGATGGAGGGTCTTTATCCACCATTCAAACAATCCTTCATTGCAATCTTTGATCAATTGTTCTCTTTCGTCCACGTCCAGGGAGATTAACTATAGTGCCATGGGCTGTAAACTTCTTGACAATGTGGACACAGGAAAATTAAGATCTCTGGAGATGGACTTGTAACCTTGAGATTGCCCATGCTTTTCCACAAAAACTTGGAATGCAATTATCTATTGCAATTTAGAGAAGGTGCCAATAATTTTGCCCAGTCCATTTTTGGAGTTTTGCAGGGAATGTGTCAGATTTTGCTTTTTTTCTCTCCACTTTTTTGTGTCATACCAATACAAACAAAATAAATAAACATGAGCATGAGAATGCCTAAAAATTTGCAACATTTTCTGCGTGCAGTGATGCATTATCTGACAGAAATGCAGGGGTGCTAATATTTTTGGCCATGGCTGTATGTAATAAGTATATAACTTTCTAATGTTTTTAATAGTAGTCTTCTTCTATTGCAGAATATGCTACTACCATATTGAGAAGTGTTTCATATTTAGCATTTAAGTATGATTTTCAGTACAGTGAACAGTTAAAGCGATAAAACCCTCAGCTTTTTTCTCCTTATACACATCTACACAATGAACATTCTCCAAATCCACATTTATTTATGTTTTAAAATAAAGTCTTACTATTTTTTTCCCTTTAGAAAGCCTGCTATGCTCGCTCCCATGTTTCTTCTTTTCAGGCACACCTCCTGCCTCTTGGTAAGAGCTGTGCACATTGATTCTGGTCACGTGCACATCTTTCTTTGCCTACAACTCCCATGAGGCAGAGAGGAATCATCTCTCACTGCACACAGCTGCCTCCTCCCCAAACACACTGACAGTTTCACTGCTTGTAATCTCCATTGCAATGCCCTGAATTATCAAAACTACTTACAACAAATCTACAACAAACATCACATTTACATCAATCTACACAGAAAAACATTTCAAATGTACAAGCCATATCCTCTGTGACTCAGAAGAAAGTATGAGCCTGGTGACAGCTCACATGCTGAATCTCCTCACAGCAGCTCCCCCCACAATCCCTCCTTGATAAGCCAGGTGGAGAGAAATCAAAGACCATATATTAGAGTTGAAGAGCAGAAGAAATCCTAGCTCATTGCAGGAGTTAAGAGGGGAGGATTTGTAGGAGGAGACTGAGAAGAGATGCCCTCAGCATGTTGTAGTCCTTCACATGAACCAGCACAGAGGGTGGCTACTTTTCAGCACACATAGGGACCCTTATAAAAATCTTATATTTTAGTGGTTTGTGCAGGCTTAAAGGCACTCTTTGGCATACATTCTTACATCACTGACCTTTTGGATGTACTATAAATAAAATGGTGAAATTTATTCCATTACAGAACCAAAAATAAATCTAATCTATACTTCTTATTGTAACGCTAACTCATTATACTTGATGGGAAATGTATAACAAGTCTATACAGTCCAATGATCAACAAAGTCGGTTTGGAAGTTTCATGCTGAGCATTAGGATTCTTACCTCCTTTATGTTATAGTTAGTGCAGGCACTTGTCTCAAAGAAGTCCATGCCATATTCTTCTGCAAGCTACAAAAAAAAAAAAATCGGGATTAAAAAAACAAAGCATTTGGAGTAGCATTAAAGTGACCATTTCAATACACATTGTGCAGACATGGTCCACTGTTGCCATCAACAGGAAAACCCGCTCCGAGAAATTGCACGCAGCCATTTGCTGTAGAGCATGTAGACCAGAAAGAGGCAGCATGAAATTAGCAGCACTGCAGATGTAAAAAAAATATATAATTTTTTTTTCTAAAATTGGAACTTGTTTATTATACAAAGTACTTTAGCAAACTAAATGTCATTCATTTAGGGTCTACATCTACTTTGAAGTAATTCATACAAATATGTTATCAAAATATTTCTCTGTAAACATCTGATCGAGAAGTATTTAGCGTGTGCTCTTTATAATAGGATATAGTCTAAATATGTCTGTATCTAACAACCCACAGCCTAACCATACTATACACTCAATTGGCCAGATTTACTACAGTGTGAAGTCAATTAAAATGAAATTATGAGAACCTGCGTCCCACATATAAACCTGCAATATAATGCCATGTAGAGGCAGTCCTGTTTTCTAAATTTACTTTTACAGAACTTAATTGCTTAAAAGGGAAGACTTGACTTCTCTTTTCCCACTTTTGTAAACCAAAAAAAGTATGGACACCGGCACTCCAAAGGTAGAAGTACGTCTATTTATTCAGG